ATTAAAAAAAAAAAACTTTGTCCGACCTACCAACCCTATGCTGAAATTTCATGTTACCGGAAACACACTACTTTTTTTTCTACGCCTAAGTTGCGTGTTGATCGGCGCCGACCAGACATGACGTGCAAACGTGCAAGAGTGGAAAAAGTAAATAAAAGTTGATTAAAAAAACAAAGCTTGAATGAAAAATAAAACAGCATTAGGAATGTTGAGTATGAATGGATTTTGTGAATTATATAAATTAAATCAATCAACTTATAAAAAATGATGCTGTGTTGATCTGTGGCTCGTATCCTCATCGACGAGTCCAGCGTTCATTGTTGTAGTTGGATCGTGGGTCAGACACAGAGAGACATCAATTAAATAGATATATTATTACACCTATTATAGATAGATAGAACCTGGGTCATGGAATGAATTAATTTTGGAACTTGAGGTACCACTCTCCTTTGACTGTAAATCACTAGATTGGAGTGAAGGGGAACCCATGTAGTCCCAGGCCTCCAAAATGGGTATGCAAAGTACATATTCAATCAAATTCCAGACACAAAAGGAATTCCTTATAACTACCGAAGCTAAAATTATTATCACATTTGTAGTATTATATTTTTCTTACCTTTGTTTTTCTTTTTGCCATGTCCCCTTGTTGGCAAAAGTGTGGCCTCTGCAGGACAGCCAAATTAAAAAAAAAAAACTTTGTCCGACCTACCAACCCTATGCTGAAATTTCATGTTACCGGAAACACACTACTTTTTTTTCTACGCCTAAGTTGCGTGTTGATCGGCGCCGACCAGACATGACGTGCAAGAGTGGAAAAAGTAAATAAAAGTTGATTAAAAAAAACAAAGCTTGAATGAAAAATAAAACAGCATTAGGAATGTTGAGTATGAATGGATTTTGTGAATTATATAAATTAAATCAATCAACTTATAAAAAATGATGCTGTGTTGATCTGTGGCTCGTATCCTCATCGACGAGTCCAGCGTTCATTGTTGTAGTTGGATCGTGGGTCAGACACAGAGAGACATCAATTAAATAGATATATTATTACACCTATTATAGATAGATAGAACCTGGGTCATGGAATGAATTAATTTTGGAACTTTAGGTACCACTCTCCTTTGACTGTAAATCACTAGATTGGAGTGAAGGGGAACCCATGTAGTCCCAGGCCTCCAAAATGGGTATGCAAAGTACATATTCAATCAAATTCCAGACACAAAAGGAATTCCTTATAACTACCGAAGCTAAAATTATTATCACATTTGTAGTATTATATTTTTCTTACCTTTGTTTTTCTTTTTGCCATGTCCCCTTGTTGGCAAAAGTGTGGCCTCTGCAGGACAGCCAATTTCAGAAGACTGACATCCATTGCTTGGAACTGCAGGAGGTTGGATGACAGTTGCTTGAGTTGTATCAGCGATGACAGGCCGGGAGAAGGAGGCAATCCTCTGTAAAATACATCCTACACTATCGCCGACATCACTGGGGCAACGTTCCAAGGAGCCAGTCGCTCTAGGGCTGGAAGGATGAGAGGAGTTGGGAGGGCCAGGGTTCACTTGAAGAGCTTGAGGCCTGGAAAGGGTTCTCAACTGTGGAGTGTGGGCTGGAGATAGCGGCACTGGTGAGCAGCTCACTTCTGGAACAGGAATAGATCCTGTGGTTGAATGACTTGAGAAGGGCAAAAGGGGATGGTGTAGGGAGAGGGGTGGGGTATTGGTAGAACTGCCAAGGCTGCTGAGGGAAGCTGATGGGCTAGATGCAGTGGTTAAGGAGTTGTTGTGACACTGAGGACTCCCTGTGCCCCTTGGAGGAGGCTTTGGAGGGTTGGAGTTGATGGGTCGTCTGTGAACTTTAGCAGGGGACGGAATGGAGGTGGTGCTCACCAAGCTATCCAGGTCCAAGGGAAACTTACTGAGATGCGGAGTCTCTTTAGCCTTGGGCTGGGTCATCGGGGGGCCTGAATAATGATGATTGTTGGGGCCACAGCTACCCTCAACTTCAAGGGCATTGGCATTCTGGCGCCGACCACTCCGGGTGGCATTTGTATATCTCAAGCCAGGACAGACCTGGTCTCCACCTCTTTGGACACCTTGCGTGACCTCTCGTCCATCACAGATTTGAATATCTAGGCTAGGCATGGATCCATGATTAATCCCGTGAGGATCTGGTGCCACCAATGCCAATCCTATTCTTTGGTCCAATGCTGAGTGGAAAACAGTCCCATCAGAGGAGAACTTCTTCAAATTGTGGTTGCTTCCCAATGTACCACTTGCTTGTAGCTGCTCTTGTGAGAGCTGGGACTGGACTTGGTGGTACTCATTCTGGGGCAAAGGACTCGGATATGACGTCAGCTTGTTAGGATGAATGAAACCGCTAGCAACTCCAGAGTATTCAAGGCTGGAAGTGGAGCTATGAAGGCTGTCATTGTCACTTCCTGGTCCCCGCAACACGGGGATCCCCTTGTTGGGGTTCACTCTGCTTTGAAAGGATGCTGCTCGATTCACAGAGGAGTTGTTGTAAATGGCTGGTTTGTTTATGGTTGCTCGATTGAAGGACAGACTGCTGACTACTGTGCGTGATCTGAGGACTGGACTGGGATTGGAACTCCGGGTGGTATGGGTGTGATACCCTGCAGAGCCCAGGTTGTTCATATTGGTGAAAGATGGAGAAGGAGATTGTCCTCCTCCGCTATCCTCACTGGCTTTGTTGTGGCTGTGGAAGAAATGGGATGGCGAAGGAGAGACGGGAGAGGAGGCAGTGGATGCTGAGGAGAAGGATGGTATGTCATCCACATCTTCAATGTCAAAGGATCTCTTCAAGGCTGCAGGTAAAAACAGCGTTTGTTAGTAACGGGAGTAACAGATTCTGGACTGAAACACAAAAGTGGTTTCAAGGGGATGAAATGTCAGGTAGTTTTTACATTAACTTTCCGTAGGAAGCATTAACAGATGATTGAACATAGGATCAGATTGGTTGCTTCATTCTCCACAAAGACCCTACAAAGTACAGAAACATTGATACTGCAGCCCTAACCTCCAGTCAGTAGTTCAGTTTTCAGATTTTTGTGATGCATCCATTTGATCTGACATGTGTGACTGCATTGTTGCTACTACTCCTTCCTTCCTACATCAGTCTTTGTTATTCTTAATCAAGACCTCTTAAATGTGTTGATTTTAGTTTGTTTCCTTTCACTAAAAGGAACAGATCGTAGACTTGCTGAAGGGCATGGCTAATGAACTGTGGTTCATGATACTTGAATCCATATCTGAGGATTTAATCTTTGACTTAAACTGCAATAGATATGTTTAACCTTTGTCCCAGCTCTTATTATTATATTTAATTTCCTACGCTTTCTCTCACTTTTCTTCAGGCTTCTGAGCCTGAATGATCTTTGACACTTTCCTTTGTATGACGATGGAGTCCCTTTACTGTTAAACACAAACACTCTTCCTTCGTACAAAAACACAAAGCGGGGATTGAGGTCGAGGCTTAACTTTTTGTGAGGTTTTGCGTTACCAATATCCACAACTGCAACATGACACAACACGGGAAAGATTGCGTGGGTGGTTACCTCAAACGATGTTTGATTTTTTTAGTTAAGGTTGTTTCGTAAAATGAATGTCATCTTCAGAATATTTGTAGCTTGAAGTGTCTTTAAAATACCCATCTAATTTAATCATCGGAAAAACATGATTTGCTGTTTTCCTGATTCAATGTGTTTGCGCATTTACATTTATGCTTCGAATGCTTCGCTGAATAGCGTATACAAGATACTGGTGTCGACTGCTTATTTTTCTGTTGCCCGTTTGTTCGAACTAAAGATATGCTAACACGGGGACGGTTGAGTAAAAAGTTTGAGTTTTCAATGCATTTTTTTACATAAATTAAAAATACTGTCAAAAGTTATCCCTGTTAAGACGGTGCTGAAACCACTATTTGCGAGCCATGCATGAGCATCAACTGCATATTTGTCATACTTTACTTATTTGGGTGGAAATTTGGGTCTTCGCTGTGTAGTGATATCAACTTTAATTTTTAGGTAGTGCTAATGTGCATGACCTTATTTCAGGGTTCAAAAGGAATAATGATGTGGTCCTTAAAAATAAACAACTTCCACTTTCAGACCTGTTGAGAAAATACAGATAAAGGAGGGCCTTCACAATTAGTAAGCTAGACTGTAACTGCACAGCCCTTCTCATATCACTGGGACTCAAAGAATCTCTATGTTGAACGACCAAACCGGTGACCTCTCAGCGCCACACAGACACACTCAGTGACCGAAGGGAATGCATTTTGAAATGTTAATTTGCTAAATGTGTAAAAGAAGCACTGTAGGACTTTGCTTTTAAAAACATTCCATTTGAAAAAAAATACCTCAAACTGAGCACTTTTGGATTCACCGAGGTAAATATTTTGTCAGTACTTGTGTGGTTTACGTATAGTATGTGGCCTATTTAAAAGCTGCCATTGTTTTCAATCAGTGCTTTTGCGTTGAGACTCACTTCCTGTTGCCTTTGAGTGGCTCCAGAGCAGAGTCTTTAAAATCCCTTGTCGGCTGACAGAAGTCAAACTACGGCGGCTATGAAACAGGCCTTATGTAGCGTAAAATAATCATTTGTTGTCTTCTGCTGCATATTTCAGTTATATAAAAAATATGTTATCACAGTTCATATCACTGATTGTCATCTTTAAGTCCATAAAGATAACTGCACCTAGTAGTGGTTGTGTATTGATGGAGTCGGTAAAAGACGATTCCTCTGAAACATTGATTGAATTATTCCATTTAAACGAAAAGGGCTCTATATTCGTAGATCCTTAGAAACACAATTTGTCTCATCAGTTTCACATTCCACCATGTCAAGGACTGCACCTCTCGTGCGCCGTTTTTAAAGGGAATGTTATTGAATCAAGTCAGCTGTGTTGATGCCCACAATAGCACAAAATGCCTGTTTTTAACTGCACACCACCAAAACTTTTTATCTTGCCCGCCTCCATGCAGTCCAACAGCTTGCCGAGCTTTACTTGCGCTCAAGCTCAATCTTCAATCAGTGCACCCATTGTGAGGAGTTGCAGCTTTTCTCTGGTATTTGTAGATAAAGACTCACGTGATTAAAAAGAAGACAACAAATAATCATTGCTTGTGTTAACGCCATACAAACACGTACACAGAGCAAAAACCAACTTTAGTTCCTTCCTGCAAAGACTCGTGGCCTCGGAAGGCTCCAGGCAGGCTGGGAGGCGTGTGTGAATGTGTGTGTGTGTGTGTGTGTGTGTGTGTGTGTGTGTGTGTGTGTGTGTGTGTGTGTGTGTGTGTGTGTGTGTGTGTGTGTGTGTGTGTGTGTGTGTGTGTATGGGTGTGCATGAGGGCTGTGTGAACTTAGTTGGCTGAGGCGACAAGTGTGAACCTGCCTTCAGTACAAGAGATAGAGTCCTGGTATCAGGTAATTGCTGGCACCTTCCTGCAGACTGAAAAAATAATTACGGTGGCAATTGTGCATCAGGTCTTTGCATTGCTATGCTTCTCTGGGTTTGTGTGTGCGTGTGTGCTTGTGTACAGTGTATCTACCTGATGTTGAACTTTGTCTTTTCCTCACAGAGGTGCAGAACATAATCTTCTCCTCAACAATTTACCATCAATAAGAATAAAACAGTCCATCACACTAATCTCAAAGGCACACAAACAAACCCAATGAGTGGTGGGAGGTGTCCCAATAAAATAAAACACAACCCTACTAATCTGTGATTTTGACTTGGATTTAAAATCTCACAATTACAACAAGAGAAATTGATGGATTTAAAAAGTCTAATATTAAAATTAATCTAATATTAAATATATTCATCATAGTCAAAGGTAAAGTTCTTAACAACAGTGTCAATATAGTCATTGGTATTTTTTCATATACGTTTCCTTTTGATGGCAAATATGCATTGTCCAATTGACTCCACTTATGGCCGCCCCATGTATATATGTGTATGTGTGTGTGTGTGTGTGTGTGTGTGTGTGTGTGTGTGTGTGTATAAATGATTAGGATTGATTCACTGCATTTTGTAGCTTTTGTGGCCTTTCCCTTGAAACTCCATTGAAGCAGAACTCCAGCGGTTTCCGTCATCACTATGCATTACTGTATAATTTAATTAATAATAATAATAACAATAATGGTTGATTTGATATTTTCCATCAACAAACACAGTTACCTAATTTTCAAACTTGTGTGCCCTCTAAAGAGTGTTTGGCCTTTGTCAAGCATTATATTGAATCTTCATATAAAATTGGTTAATTCATTTTTACACTTAACTAGTACACTTGTATGTTACCAAAAAATAACTGCTTGATTAAAAACACTTTTCTTGATGGCAACAGTTTAACTATGAAATGGATTATTCCTCTCAGTTTTTCAAATCAAATATTGCAGGTCAACTAGTAGCCCAGAATGGTTTGTGTTCAACTTCAATGGCTGTACTGTAATAGCCATCCATTTATTTTCTCATACGCTTATCCTCACAACGGTCGCGGGCGTCCCAGCAGTCTTCGGGTAGTAGTTTGCCAGCCAATCCCAGGGCACACAGACGAACCACAACCACATACTCACAGTCACAACTATGGACAAACTCCATTAACCTGCCATGCATGTTTCTGTAAAGTGGGAGGAAACTGGAGTAACCGGGGAAAGCCCACGCAGGCACGGGAACAACATGCTAACGCCACAGAAGAAGGCCGTAGCCGGAACTGAGCCCTGCACCTCTGCACTGTGAATTGGGCATGCTAACCAGTCGACCACCGTGTCATCCTGTACTGTAATATGATCACTTATATTGGACAGTGCATGTATTGTACTCCTTCCCTGACACGAAAGAGTCTGACATCAGTTTTCACCACTGTGTGATTTTCAAAAAAGCAAAAGTCAAAATACTGGACAATCGTTTCTTTTACACTGCCATCTTAGGCCTGGGTTCAAGAAGGAAAGGCGTGACAGAATGTTCAGTGATAAGGCATCAGTGGGGGGAGCAGCAGAGTCAGATCATTGTACAAATAGCCCTACCAGAATAGTACAGCAACTTATCCAAAGTGCATCTCTGTTACGGAATGCCGGAAAACTATTGAAACTTACACTCTGGGTGGCATTGTTATGAAAACAAGCAAAGCAGCATGATGGTGGAGTCATTTCTTCAAAATTGCGCAATGTGCTCCTACGATAGCCAGGTATATCTGCATCAGACTTGGTGGTGCATGCATGCCAAATACTTTTTTACAACCTCTTTTCTAATGCCACAAAGGTGTCTTATTTTACTGTACTAAATTTGAAACACCTACTGGTAATTCATGAGAAATGGGTTTTAATTTACGAGCAGTTAAACCTACTTCAAGAAGTTCTAGTCAAACCTAGAATGGTAAAAATATATTATGAACAGAAAAAAACTATTTAAAGGCAGCCCGGTGGTCGGCTGCTTCGCGCATTGGCGTCACAGTGCAGAGGTTTCCACACAGGCCTTCCTGTGTGGAGTTTGCATGTTCTCCCAGTGTCTGCGTGGGTTTTCTCCAGGTACTCCGGTTTCCTCCCACATTCCAAAAACATTCGTGACAGGGTAATGGAACACTCTAAATTGTCCCTAGGTGTGAGTGTGAGCGCGAATGGTTGTTTGTCTATGTGTGCCCTATGATTGGCTGGCAATCGGTTGAAAGTGTCCCTCGCCTACTGCCCGAAGACGGCTTGGATAGATCCAGCATGTCCCACGACCCTTGTGAGGAGAGGAGGATCAGAAAATGGATGGATAGGTAAAAAAACTAGCAAAATTTCTGTATAATGGTACTTAAAGTCTATATTTTACTTTTGTCTGACTTTGTTTTGTCATGTTAGGTTTTAAAAGACATGGTATTAAAGTTCAGTGATGACCCAATGGCAATTACAAAAAGGATGTCAGAATCTTTACATGACGATTTAGAAAAAAGTAGGGCCTGATCGATAGGCCTTTTTTGGGGGCTGATGTGAATACTGGTTTTTGGCAGAGAAAAAAAATTGTCCCTTGATAGTCACAACAAAAAAGATGTGAATTCGAGGGGAAAAAAAACAAAAGGAAAAAAACTACTACAAAATTTTGACAAAATATGTCAAACAAATATCGGCACCCCCGGATTTACGCGGTTGACTCTATACACTGTACAGATAGAGTTCAACAAAGTTGAAAAACACTTCAAGATTGCGACTCAGTTGGCTGCACCATAGTTCGCAGAGGTCGACAAGAGCTCTTCAAAAGCTCTGCTTTTTGTTGTTTTTTTTTTTCTTTTGTGTTATTAAACAGTGTTTGTTGTCCTTTGTGTGGACCCGTTGTGGACTGTATTCAGCGTTTTGGCGATGGCATTCGTCGAAGGAGAATAATCTGTGCTTTGCCTTCTCGGCAGCACGCATGTCTTTTTTACACCTGCAATGGGCAGTATTTTTGTTGAACCGTTTTTGTTGAGCGGAGATGTTGGTCCTGTTGGACAGTCTGTGTTAGTACGGCTGGATGGATGGCTGGTGGAGCCGAGAATGAAGAGAGAGGAGCGCCAGCGTGGAGCGCAAGTTGTGTATTTGAAAGTGAGAGTCGCTGCTTGGAATTGAAGCCAATCTAAAATTGACAAGAGAAGTGAACCAATTTCTTTTATTGTCAATGGACGCTAAAGCTTCTTGTTTACGATCAAACTTATCTTGTAGCAGACGTGTGGGATGTCACGTGTGCGGATGTTAGCTTTGTCCTGATATCCAGGGCGCTGTGAGCTGCGGTTTGTCCAGAGAGAGAAAAAAATACTGTTTTCGGTGGTGGAGTTGCGGATAGGTTTGCGACGAGAGCCCAAGTGGATGTCGTGGCGACAATCGAGGAGATAAGATTGTAAGGGGTGTAGCGACGTCCACTGAGGAAGGTGGTGCGCGGTGGTTGAGTCTGAGAAGCTGCATGGAAGTGTACCAACCATGATCGGTGCCAGAGATGGTAATAGTCACAGAGTGAAATCACAAACAGTAGCCACAATACTGACAGACGGACAGCCCCATGGTATGGGATGGCCCCTAACTAGGTTGTAGACGACAGCAAGGTCAGGGCACAGTTAGCCCTGGGAGCTAGCTTGATGGCGGTCACGGCGAAATGAACAAATCACAAATGACAAGCAACCATCCATCCAGTGAGGCGCAACATGTTCCCAAACACAGTAAACTAGAAACAAAAATGAAAATGCATCCGTTTTCACACCAAATGCATGGGGGCCTGTCTCCAAAAATAGAGCACTGCGTCTTAATCATTATATGAGAGGACGCTGCAGGATAGTCTGATAGCATTTTGTAAGCCATGGAGACAGTCATCTTAACACAAATTGAGTTTGTGCATAAATATAAATCTGATCTACAGTATATCAAGGCTTGAAGAGCATTTTTTCTCATCAATGACTTCATTTGAGGAGTAAGTTACAAATTTTAAGGAGCATTTTTTTCCCCGTGAATCCCAGGAACCTGAAGCAAAATAAGAATTACATTGATGACTTTTTTTTCACTCCAACTAAAACGACATCTAGTTACGGGCGGCCCGGTGATCCAGTGGTTAGCACGTCGACCACAGTGCAGAGGTCGTGGGTTCGATCCCGGCTGCGGCCTTCCTGTGTGGAGTTGCATGTTCTCCCCTGGCCTGCGTGGGTTTTCTCCGGGTACTCCGGTTGCCTTCCACATTCCAAAAACATGCATGACAGGCTGATTAAACACTCGAATTGTCCCTAGGTGTGGATGTAAGCGCGGATGGTTGTTCGTCTCTGTGTGCCCTGCGATTGGCTGGAAAACGGTTCAGGGTGTCCCACGCCTGCTGCCCGAAGACAGCTCGGATAGGCTCCAGCACACCCTGCGATCCTTGTGAGGATATAGCGGATCGGAAAATGGATGGATGGATGGACATCTATTCATCTGTTTGCATGCTCCATGTTGTTCATCAGAAGCACCATTTTACAGCGTTATGATGCGCAGATCAATGTAAACATCGTTTGTTTTATCCAGAAGGAGTTCATTTATCTGTTTCACACAGTCGTCACAGACACTTTTATTAAAGCAATGGCTTGATAAATTACAAATACCTGGAAGCAAGTTCTATATATATATATATATATATATATACATATACATATGTGTGTTTGTGTGTGTGTGTGTGTGTGTGTGTGTGTGGATGAATTCAGCCTTTTTCATTTAGCTGTCATTCCCCCCCCCCATATCTTTCTCTGAAATATCCCTTTTGATGGGTTAAATTCATGACCTGTCATGATCCTGTTCATGTGTCTCCAGCAGGTGTTGCAGACAAGAGCCTTTCCTTCTGTGTGCACACCTGCTGCCAACTGATCAAAAGCCATGTGTCTTACAAGCTGCAGGCAGCTTGTCAGATTATTGAACCTTGTCGCTGCTCTTGCTCAAGTGTTTGTTTTGTAGACCCCTCGCTCTCGTCATAGTCATTCTTGTTCTCTTAGTTCGGGGGTCTGCAACACGCGGCTCCAGAGCCGCATGCGGCTCTTTAGTGACATCTAGTGGCTCCCTGGAGCTTTATAAAAATGTTTGAAAATGGAAAAAGATTTTGATAGTGGGCTAATATAGCTCAAATAGATACAGATACATGTTGCAGCTCCGAAAAAGGAGAGCTGTGGTGTTGGTTTACACTTTATTTATGCTTTTAACAGTCTCGACAAACACAGACACATCTGCGTCCGACTCCGTGCCTTCTCTCTTCTCGTTCAACTCGAGAGGCGTTCAAAGACAGCCTCAGAAAAATGGAAATTAATGATCACTTCACTGACACTAAGAAAAGCAAAAATAATGCACCAAAACAAAAAATCAAGCCAGGAAATTACAAAATAAATTCTATGGGGGTGTTTGTGAACACACAACAAAGGAATGAATAACAAACAATTCTGAGACAGTCCAGTCTCCTACATACATACAGCATGTGTTTCCTTCATTGTAAGTTTTATAGAAAGCTTTTATTTTTTTGCAGCTCCAGAAATATTTGTTTTAGGTTTTTTTTGCCCTATACGGCTCTTTCAACATTTTGGGTTGCCGACCCCTGTCTTAGTTCAACGCTTTTGTAAGTGTAGTCTTTGTTTCGTCATTTGATCTTGTTTTTCTTTTATCGAGTGAATTGAACTCTTGAAGACATTTCGTTTAGTATTCTCTGGTTAATTATTTCCTTGCCTTTTCTAAGCGATTTTTGTTAATGTATAGTTTTTTCCTGGTTATTGTTGACCAGCAATTTCTGTTCTTGCTCTGTCGGTGCGCTTTTTGTGAATATTTTTTTTTTGCTACAGGTTTATTTTTGGTGTCTACGATTCTGGGATCCTAAACATTATTCGGTTCGTTTCCAACCTGACATGACTGATTCTTGTTACATGTCCATTGGTCTTGAAGCAAAGCAGAAGTTGAGGAAGAGGTCAGAAAATATCTTTCGATCATGACATCAAGCATTGCTCAAGACATTCCTTATGTCGAGGTTTCAAACAAATGGTCAGTACGGAGAAAAGCTGATGTGTATGAGGAATAACCAGCTATGACCAGTGAGATGCATTACTTTGAGAACCAGAAAGTAACTGGAAGGATGGGGGTGGGAGGTGCAGTTTGTCATGTGGACACACAATAAGTTTGGGCATGTCCATGAGCATCCTTTCCCTTTTTCCTGCACATTCCATACAGGTAACCCTGACAGACAAGACATGTGCACTGACACGTGACCTACACACCAGTGCACCCCAACGCATATCTTTGTACAAATGCCCATACACACAATAATTCATACAGATACACGATGAAATTTGCCGGCCCATAAAGAATCTGTGATACACTCGTAAAACAAACTTCCAGTTAGTTAAAGCACATCTGGAAAACACATTCCAAGCAGACATTTGCAATGTTTTAACCCTGAAAATAACATAGGGCCAGGCAACTCATAAACAGGCATGTAGGCATTCATAGTCAACCAGCTAACTGGTGCTTATGAGTTTTTCAGATGTCTGGCAATTATTTACCTCACCAGCACCTGTTACCTGAAAGTAAAACAAATGCTATGAAGTGGCCCTTGCATAAAAAAATGTCACAAACTGCCATTTGTTGCTCATTTGAATACAAAGGTCAATAACAAGATGGTGTGGCGTAAATAATTCCTCTTCTCCCCCGAAAAAAAATAAAATCCATCAATCCCTCCATCCATTTTCTATGTCACTCATTTTCACTAATGTTGTGGGTGTGTTGGATTCTAATCCAGTTGGTTTTGGACGGGCAGTGGTGTTCACCCTGGACTGGTTTCCAGCTCACCACAGCTGTCCAAAACAAGTTTCGATTTTAATCACATTCATACACTGAAAGAGGAAACACGAACAGAGTGCCAAACAGCTCATCGGGAACATGTTAGGATATTTTTCCCCTAAGTACAAGTCACTCTCTGCATTTTCTAAATCATTTATTCTGTTAAGGGTTACAACAGGGTGTGGAGCTGATCCCAGCTGTTTCACTGCAAAAAGGCAGACAACACCCAAGATTTGTCACCAATCAATCACAGGACAATACAATTGGGACACAGAGGGAAATGATCAGATGTGAACCACCACGCCAGTGATGGCCCTCTGGCCTGATGGTTGTAGGTGTGTCAGCCTCAGAAATCATTTCACTCAGTGTCTATCAGAGGAAGAACACAAGTAAATGAAGGGAAACCATTTTATCTACTGTCATGTGTTCTATTCAGAAAAGGCATGTTTTTTTTTCTGTTCTTCCATTTTCAACCAACCACTGTTGAGTAACACTGACGGTTCTTTGACTCCCAAATGACAAAGTGGAGTCCAACTTCTCATCAGTACAATGTTCAAACTATTTCACCCACACTAATGGTTTTGTCTCCACTCACTCTTAGGCTAAAATGATTAGAGCGTCTTAGGGACCCAGCAACTTCAGACATGTCTGAATAAAGGACAGCGCACACTGATGTCTTGTCAACTTCTGATCCATTAAGTCAGAATGGCCTGGCAACAAGCCACCTCAAGTGCTACCTGTCCTGACTATGTGTGGGGTTATGGACTCACTTGGACAGATGTAGAGTCAAGTCAACTTTCTTGTCAAATATATGCTCTATGTGCAACATACAGCACAGATGAAATGTTTTTCCTCTCCACCACAGTGCAATCACAGGAGAGAGAGGAGCCGCGCCATCAACAGAACAGTTAACATAAAATAACAGAACAATACAACACAACACATAAGACAGAAGGAATAAATAAGCAATTACGAGGCAACACTGACAGGGTCACAGTATGGTGTAAGGAGTAGCAAATGTGCATTACTGTATGCCATGTTCTTACCTATACAGTAATCCCTCGTTTATCGTGGTTAATGGGGACCAAAACCACCCGCGATTAACGGAAATCCGCGAAGTAACGACCAGTAAACATATTAAAAAAAAAAAACATTTTTTTTAAAAGTCCACAAACAGTCCACGAGAAGCTGTGAAAGTCAGCAAAACAACAGCGAGTCACATAGAGCAACATATACAGTACTGTACTCCATGTATATGAATTTATTATTATTATTATTTTTAATGAATATGTTTGAAAAAATCCGCGATGCACTGAAGCCGCGATAAACGAACGGCGAAATAGTGAGGGATCACTGTATTACATCTTTCTCTTTGTGATTTTCCCAACCACTGACAGTCTGGGTTGATGTGCTCCACTACGTTAATGCAGGTTGGAATGTTTTCGTGAGAACCACTTGTCATGAACAAAGACAGCGAGTGCTATGTGTGCCTGATTTTGAGTGTGTGTGTGTGTGTGTGTGTGTGTGTGTGTGTGTGTGTGTGTGTGTGTGTGTGTGTGTGTGTGTGTTGGGTGACTGGGTCAGTAAGTCATGAGACCCTTTCTGATCTTCAGCAGTACCATGATGTGACAGGGACTGCGAGGCAGCTTTTAGCCCCCTTGGCCTCTTTTAATCTCCTGGGTCACCCAAAGGCTTGAATGCTCTGTTGTCTCACTGGCCTATCAAGTGCCTTCACTGTGTTTGCAGGTTCACAAGCGACTCTTCTTGCATCGCAAATTATTGCCATTTTACCTTACATCACATGTTGTCATACAGTGAGACACATTATGCATCTATCTATCTATCTATCTGTTAGGGTTGTGCATCTGTCCAGGTTAATAAATGTTTTTCCATTTTAGTCCATCTTTTTCATCCATCTGGATCTTTTCTGGAAATTGTTACGGATGAATGAAAGTTTACCATGTTTTGATTTATTTTTTTACACCAATATTCAAGCCTCTAAATTCAATTAGAGGGGTTAAAGATGACACAAAGTCACATGTCACATCCGCCTTAAAGCCTTTGAAACAATGTCTGCAAGCTTTAAGGCTTACAGAGGCATACACCTATGTTCTCCATCCATCCATCCAGTTTCTGATCCGCTTTTTCCTCACAAGGGTCGGGGGGCATGCTGGAGCCTATCCCAGCTGTCTTTGGGCAGTAGGCGGGGACACCCTGAACTGGTTGCCAGCCAATCGCAGGGCACACGGGGACAAATAACCATCTGTGCTCACAGTCACGCGGAGGGGCAATTTGGAGTGTTCAAACAGCCTGCCATGCATGGGCGTCATTAGGCCTATTTTAGGGAGGCTTCAGCCTCCCTAAAAATGTCTTTAGCCCCCCTAAATAATTTCATTGCATTATTTAAAAAAAAGTATTATTTATTTTTCCTGTACTTTTGCTAATATATTGCATCAAATTCAATGTAATGTGGCCATTTTAAATTATATTTCGATAACCTGCCATTATTGTAATATTAATCTCCCAGGATTCCTGAACGCAACAGGTGTTGCGTTAGCATTTGACGTGTTTGTCACCATCGCCACATCAAATGCTAACGCAACAACTGACAGTTCATTG